TTTGCTGCGGACTTGTGCAGATTGGCTGCGGACCTGAGCTGTTGAGCAGAGTTTTAGGCAGACCTGCTGTGATTTTATAGTCGGTTGGGTAGGCCTAACCTGTTTTCTGTTACAGCGTGGTGTGTTGTGAACCCTAATTTATTTAGTGGTTGTATACATAGATATTAGTTGGTAAATATTATTTTGCTAATTAATTGAGCTTTATTATTGAATATTATTTGAGTGAGAACCCTTATTGTGTATTTGTGGTTTGACTTTCACACCTATAATTGGTTTGATTTATTATTTTGCTAATTAATTGAGCTTTACCATTGAATATTATTTGAGTGAGAACCCTTATTGTGTATTTGTGGTTTGACTTTCACACCTATAATCGGTTTGATTTATTATAACGGTGTCAAATATATTTTAATTGGTTACGCCCTTATTTTTGAGGATTTGTCGTGGTGTTTTGAATTTTAAATATGGTTGTGACTACGAGTACGACGTCTGTGCTGGGCGGTACGCCTATTACGTCTGCTATTGCTACGACGAGTTCTGGGGTTAGCTCCGAACTGTCGGTGATGACGACATCGTCATTGTGGCCGGCGTCTTCGCCCGTTTGGCCGACAATTTCTTCGGTAGTGGCTACGACGGTGACAACTTCGTTGACCTATTCCGCGCCAGCGACTTTGTCCTTGGGGTCGCAGCCCCGGGACGTTCGCGTGGGATGGATCTATGACCTCTCGAAAGGGGAGCTCATGAGGACGATGGACCAGTATGGTTTGGTGACCACTGGTACTTCTGCGGAATTACGGCAGCGATTCTCGTCGTTTTGGAAGCAGCGGAATGCCCGTCGGTACAGCGATGATAGGCTGTGTACAGCTGGGGCTGCTGCACCGACATATTTACCGCCCGCTACTACAACTGTGGAGCTTCATGACCCCCTGAGAACCGTACCTCAGGTACTGGGTAATGCGGAATCGAATCAAGCAGAGATAGTGGGACTTAGCAGGGAGTTAGAGGTGGTTAAAGAGATCCTTGGGTTGTCTTTGGAGACTGATACCCGGACTCTTAGAGAACATCTGGCATCGGTGGTGCGACAGGCGAGAGGCTCGCCGAGTAATGGGGTCGGCTATGGGTTCGAAAGACCCGCCAACCCTACGTCCCCTGTGGTGGCTGCTCCAATGCCTACCTTTGGGTTACCTAGTAGACCCGAGGGATGGCAGCGGCCCAATGATATTTCTGAGAGACCAGCCCGGCCTTCTAGCTTGGAGCTGCCACGAGGCTCGGATATGCTCTCAAATGAGGCCAGCAGGGTGGAGCCAAAGGATTGCTCCAAAGTATGCAACACGGTACGGAAGTGGGGTTTAAGGTTTGATGGCCGACGAGACCCTGTGTCGTTCCTGGAGCGCCTTGAAGAGCTGATGGTCTCGTACTCTATAACATCAGAGGACCTGCTCAGAGCGCTGCCGGAGCTGTTGCAAGGCTCAGCGCTTCTATGGTACAGGAATTGCAAGGAGCTCCTGTATTCATTTGAAGCTTTTCGGCATCAATTTGAGATCCAGTTCCTTCCACCTGGTTATCAGAGGAATTTGGATGAGGAGATCCGGAAAAGGACACAAGGTGAAGGCGAGCACTTCCGGGACTACGTGGTTGCTATAAGTACCTTGCTTAGGCGTAGCGGTACGTTGTCCGAGCATGGTAGATTGGACTTGATCTACAACAACATGCGACCAGAGTACAAACTCATGGTGCGACGGCGGGACTTCCGCAATCTGGCCGAGATGGTTGAGTTAGCCGAAGACTACGAGGCCTATCTGCGAGAGAAGGCGGCCTTTAGACCTCCTCCTTCTCCGAACGTAGCGCTGGTTTTGGAAACCGCCTACACACCCAAAAAGAAGGTGGAGAAGCGCGCCGAAACTGCCGCCGTCGAGAAGCGGAGTTTCGAGAGACCATCTCCGGCAGCTGAGTCGCTTGGGCGGGTAGCTTTGAAGTCGGATCGGGTCCACGGTCAACGGCCCGTGACAGCAGCTAGAGCGCCTGAGGGTCCAAAGGGGACGGTTAAATGTTTTAGGTGCCAGGAGATTGGTCACTTTGCCCGAGAATGTGGTAAACCAAGGACCGTCTCCTGTTATGGGTGTGGCAAACCTGGTTTGACGGTGAGTCAGTGTGGATGTCGGGCGGGAAACGGCAGGCCAGCTCAGACATCAGGAGGTCAACTGGGCAAGGCCACCCAAAACGAACGACCTCAGAAGAGTGGTCCGAGTGGCTCGGAAAACTAAACAGCCTGGTTGGTGGAGTAGACGAGAACCGGCTGGTTTCGGAGACAAGGCCCTTTGTTGAAGTTGTGCTGATGGGCAGCGTTTTTAAGGCGTTATTGGACACTGGGTCCGTAGTTAACCTGGTTGGGCGCGAAGTCGCCAATCATCTTCAATGTCAGGGGGTAGAACCTTTTAAGAAACCCTCTCCTCTAAGGATGGCAGATGGGTCGCGGTCTAGGGCCGAGTATTCGTTCCGATTGGCAGGGGAGGCTGCGGGAAGACGGTGGGTTGGAGACGCCTTGTACGTTCCCACTCTTACCACGGATATGATTTTGGGTATGGATGTCATACGACATCTCGGACTTGTGACGGTCGTGACGGAGGTGATAAGAATGGGCGTGGGTGAGGACTGTGCTGGTCAAGTGGGCTGCCTCGATACAGTCGAAATTAGTGACCAAGACCCCAGAGGCCCTGACGATGGAGATCCCCGTCTTATTCCTGAAGCCGAAGTATCTGACACTTCGTTGGCTGGTAGTGGCGTGGATTATGATCCCGTTTGTGATGACGTCAAGGGCGAAGGAGTGATAAAGCCGTTGACGGAAACCCAAAGCCAGTCGTTGGTGATATTCTTGAAGGGAGAGCTGTCAAAATTTGACGATGTGCCCGGGAGGACCCATCTCTTGGAGCACGTTATTAGGCTGAAAGAGGGAGTGGTCCCGGTGAAGCAGAGGCATTACCCGAGAAATCCAGCTATGCAAGCTGTGGTTAATGGGGAGGTGGAGGTTATGTTGAAGGATGGGATTATAGAACCTTCTTCGTCTCCATGGAGCTCACCGATCGTGCTGGTAAAAAAGGCTTCGGGCAAATTTAGGATGTGCCTTGATTTGCGAAAGGTTAATGAGGCCAGCGTGCCGGACGCTTACCCCCTGCCGAGGATAAACGCCATTTTAGAAAAGCTTCGGCGGGCCCGGTACATAAGTACTCTCGACTTGTACCGTGGTTATTGGCAGGTGCCTCTCAATGAACGGAGTCGCCCGGTTACAGCCTTCACGGTACCCGGGGTTGGCTTATTTCAGTTTAAAGTGATGCCTTTTGGTTTGCATTCTGCGGGAGCCACGTTTCAGCGTTTGCTGGACAGGGTGATCGGCCCGGACCTAGAACCATCGGCGTTTGCGTATCTGGATGACTTGGTCTTGGTTTCTGAAACTTTTGAGAAACATCTGGAATTGTTGAGGACCGTCTTCGCCAGATTGAGAGGGGCGGGATTGCGCCTGAATCCTGACAAGTGTCATTTTTGTAAGACCCGGTTAAAATACCTGGGTCACGTAGTCAGTGATGCTGGAATCGCGACCGATCCAGAGAAGGTCAGGGCAATCAATGACTTTCCTACACCGCGAAGCGTGAGGAATCTTCGAAGTTTTCTTGGGCTGGCCAGCTGGTACAGGAGATTTGTCGACGGATTTGCGTCGTTGGTCAGGCCTTTGACCAAGTTGCTAAAGAAGGGGGAGAAATGGCAGTGGGGCTCGGATCAGGAGATTGCTTTCGAAGCAATGAAGAACCGCCTGAGCTCAACACCAGTTTTGGCATGCCCGGATTTCTCGAAGACGTTCGTGCTGCAGGTAGATGCCTCAAACGATGGCCTTGGTGCGGCTTTGACGCAAGACCAGGCCGGTAAAGAGGCCGTCGTGGCATACGCGAGCCGTCTGTTGACAGACCAAGAGCGGAAATATACGACTACCGAGAAGGAGTGTTTGGCTCTGGTCTGGGCGGTGCGGAAGTTCCGACCATATCTGGAGGGTTATCGCTTCGTGGCCATAACGGACCATGTGGCATTAAGATGGTTGATGAAGCTGCAGGAACCGTCCGGTCGGCTTGCTCGTTGGGTTATGGAGTTGCAACAGCATGATTTCGAGATCCGGTACCGTAAGGGTACGTTGAATCGTGTTGCAGATGCTCTCTCCCGTCAGCCCGTGGGTGGTGAAGATGACGATACCCCGGCTGACGTAGCTGTGATGGGAGGAGACCCACGAGAGGCCGAATTAGAGACCGAGGGTATGCAGCCAGAAGATGGCACATGGTACCAGCGCACTAAAGAGTGTGTGTTGTCCAATCCCAGACGTGTCCCGAGTTATTGTATTAGGGATGGGAAGTTATACAGGCGTCTTGGGAAAGATAAGTATGATGAAGGCGGAGTGGTATGGAGGACTTGTGTACCACCATCTAAGGTTAAGGATGTGTTGGTAGAGAACCATGACTCTCCTATGGCGGGCCACCTGGGAGTTAAGAAAACAATTGCCCGGGTTGGGGAAAACTATTTCTGGCCGGGTTGGCGTCGTGCCGTGAAAGAATACGTTAGGTCCTGTGCCACGTGCCAGGAGTTTAAGGTATTGCAGCAGAAACCGGCGGGACAAATGTACTTTCGAAACCCTCAAGGACCTTGGCATTCCGTGTCGGTCGACTTGATGGGTCCATTCCCCAGATCCAAAGGTGGGCATCGTTTTCTTGCAGTTTTCCAGGACCTGTTTAGCAAGTGGGTTGAAATAAGACCCCTGCGGTCAGCTACGGCCAAGGCTGTAGCTAGTGCATTCAAGGACGGGCTATTGCTGCGTTTTGGCTCCCCTGTGATTTTAATGAGTGACAATGGAACCCAGTTCGTCTCTAAGGTGTTCCGAGACCTGACGAAAGAGTGGGGAATCGAGTTCCGACAGACTCCCGCAGTCCAATCCGGTTGAACGGCCAAACCGGGTTATCAAAACTATGATAGCCCAGTTCGTTCAGGATAATCATCGTACTTGGGATGCACTCATTGCCGAGTTCCAGTACGCGATGAACACCGCCGTTCACGACTCCACTGGGTTTTCACCTGCCAAACTGTGTTTTGGGAGAGATCTCAGGCTACCTAGGGCAATCGGGTCGTCTCTGACCACAGGACCGGAGCCTGGAGATGACCGTGAGAGAACCGCGGATGAGCTATATAGTGACCGGGAGCGGGCGTTTAAGAGGTTGTACGATAGTTGTCGACAGAACTTGAGGAGGGCTTTCCAGCGCCAGTCTAAATATTATAATCTTAGACGACGTGAGGTGCAATACCATCGAGGTGATCAAGTCATGAGAAGACTACATGTCTTGTCCTCAGCGGCTGAAGCTATAGTGGGCAAACTGGCCCCTAAGTTTCAGGGTCCTTGCACCGTAGTGAAGCGAGTGGCCCCTAATATGTATGAGGTAAAGGACGAGGGTAGGAGAGAGATCCACGTCGTCCATGTTAAGGACCTTAAGACCTACCATGAAAGAACCGAATCCTAGTTATTCTTGGTTATGCATGGTGGTGGGTAGTCAAATAGCGATTTGTGCATGGCTTGTGCTTGCTATTCTTTTTATGTTTTTTGCAGGTGAACGCAGTTTCTTTGGGCTTGGGTAGTCGTTGCTTGGTTGCTTGCTTGTTTGCCTGCTTGCTTACCTTTGGCTTAGTATTAAGATGTCTCTGCGTTCGGAGATTTTTGTTTTGCCGGAAGACATTGAGACCCTTCGTCCCAATTGCCTAGTTAATGGGATTGCGATTAATGGGTACCTTCGCCTTATTGAGCGCAGGTGTTTCTATTACCGGAACTTACCTACAGTTTGGGCGTGTGACAGCGAATTTAGGTCCGACTGGGTAAGGGGAGGATATGAGGTGACGAAGTGGCGGTTGCGAAATATAAACCCGTTTAGTAGAGAGCTTCTGTTATTCCCAGTACACCTGCCGAACGTTGGACAGCATGGACATTGGTCGCTGATCGGTGTGTGGCCCCGGAAGGCGGAAATAGCTACTTTCGATTCTGTCGGGCATCGGCGAGCAGCAGCGAGACAACAAATGGAGGGCGTGCTAGATTTTCTTCGGCTGTACGCCAGGTCCGAGAACCTCCCGTTTGACGCGGATGGTTGGACCCTAGTCGACTCCCCGGCAAGCTTGCCTCGCCAAGAAGATGCAGAGAGCTGCGGAGTGTTTGTGTGCGTATACGCTGACAGGTTAGCGAGGAACGCCCCTATCACCGAACCTATTGACGTCAATGCAGCACGCTTGGCCATCGCTGAGGTCCTGGAGAGAGGGAAATTCGACAGGGAGGATTTCCAAAATCGCCGGAACGTCAACCCCGTCCCTCCTCAGTCGTCAGCCGTTACAATCGACCTCACGCTGCCGGTTGACGGACCCCCATCGGAGATCTTCGAGGTGGTGGAGGAGGTGACTGGGGAAGTCGAGCAACATGCTGACAGGGGGGCTGCGGAGGAAGCGAGGCTGTTAGGTGACGAGACCTCAGCCATGCTGTTAGACGATGTGGCGGAGGATGAAGCTTCGATGCGGGAACCCGTCGAGAGCCAAGAGCCCTGTCTAGACCTGGAGGATGGCGAGTTGGTGGTGGAGCTTGACGCGGAACCAGCCGCCAGACCAGCGGTCCAGTCGAGATTGGGTGGTTGTCAGCGAGGTGAGGATCGTCGTCAACACCGTCACCCAGGATCCCGTCGAGAACATAAGCGAAGGCTCGAGCGGCATCGCGACGAGACTCGAAGGTACCAGGGAAGCCAGCAGCGACAGGTGGTGGAGAGGAGCCGTGGTCTAGGTGGACACAGGGTTCGGAGACCTGACCACGGGGTGGAGGCGAATCGGCGCAATCCGGAAGGAGTGTCTACGAGGAGACGCCGGGAAGGTGGACCTCAGCAGCAGGAACCTGGTCGACGCCGGAATGAGGAGACCCGTCGTCGTGCTCACGTCGACTTGAGGTATAAGCTCCTGGCCCGACGGTGCGAGAGACTGCATTCTCCTCAACGGTCTGGGCGGAGCGGTGACATGGCTCGCAGGCTCGAGCGACGGTTCACTGAGAGGGCGGAGAGAAGGCCGCCGGCATGCTCTCAGTCGGACGTGCGGGTGGTTACGGAGGCCAGCGGTCAGCGCGGGTTCGAAGTGCCACAACACCTGCGAGACCGTTTGGCGGAGTTGGAGACCCAAGGGTGGTCGAAGACGGATCTGAGGAACAAGCGCTGGGTGGTGACCCGGGCCGATGGGTCCAAGTTCAAGATCCGTGCCGCCAAGCTCCGGACCCTAGAGACACTTCATTGAGTGTGATGCGGGTGGGGCTTTACAATATTTAATTTTAGTTTACTGCTCGCAGTTGGAGTGGGAGTGATTTATTTGTTTTTGTTAATCTAGTAGTTTGGTTTTTGGTTTACATTGAGACCCATAGTAAAGGAGGTATCATTGGGTGAGGGGCCGGAGTGTTTTGTTTTGGTCGGAGTTTGGAGATTTTTTTTCTTTTGGCCGTTTTCTTTTTTTTTCCCCGATGTAAGTGGGGGGTGTAACGAGTTATTTTTCCCAGGGGGGTATATTTTCGTTATTTGGGCCGCGGGTCTGTTGAGGTAAGCAAGCAGCGGCGGCGAACCTGGCTAGCGCTCTTTGACCCGGCTTATCAGTTCGGATAAGCTTGGGTATCCTGGGACTACTGGACAGCCGAGAACGGACATTCGAGTCGTGGATCCCGGACAGTGAGGATAGTGTGGTGTCTTGTGGACGACTGGGATACGTCGGTGTGGTGTACGTAGAGAGGAGTGTACGTGACCGTGACAGTGGTGTCGGAGTACGTTGGTGGTGTGATCGCGCCGAGTGTTGGTGTAAGTTGGGTACTGACCCACTTGTGGTGAGTGGACGACTTGATATTATTCGTTTGATAATATTAATATCTGGTTTTATTGCGAGAGTTAGAGTTGTAACCGTGCTGGTCAAAGCCTGACGGTAGTTAGGATTTATTTACAGGTGTCAGGAATAAAAGTATATTCCTGACGGTTCTGGGCAGGTGCTAGAGCGCAAATAATATAATTTATTGACTGTAGTAGTTATTATTTTGCGTTGTACCAAGAGTTAGTTATATTACTAATAACTCGGAGGCCCGACAAACCTAGGCTGCACGATTTAGCGTGCGTAGTTGGAAGCACGAGGCCAGTAGGCTAGTAGCTAGTTTTATTAGCCTATTAACAGAAGCCCGGCTAAGCAATATAACGTTGATATAGTAGCAGTACTGGTAGTAGCAGTAGGGTTGGTATTGATTAATCATTTAATTATTTTAATTTAACCTGAACAGCTTGCTTAGTAATCCAACACGTTAGCTTGGTAGCTTGGATAGCGGAGTACCGGCTATCAGATAATATATTTATCTAGTGTTTGGAACGTAGTTAATATTTATTTATCTGCTACTAAGTAGCTCAATATTTTAATAGTGCAATTGCCATTTAGTTTTGCTTGTTTGGCTTGGTATTTATTGAGACCAGCTACTAGTGGTGTAGTCACTCTACCTATAGTGTACTTGTATATTATTATGTGGTACGATTATTGAGTGAACTGTTTGATTCTTAGCTTGGGCATTAGAGTTGTGTATTGGATTATAGTGGCCTAGTAGACCCCGCCTGGTGATAACACGCGTTGTGGTTTTTATTGGCAAGTCGTCGTGTAACTCACCGTGTTTTAGGCACTCTGGGCTTAACTATTGGATAGTTAGGACGAAGCCCGAGTTGCGTAGTCAGCAACGACCCCCTAGGAGTGTGGAGAATCGGCGTAGGCCTGGTAGTGATTATTGCACGTTTGTTTTGGTGACTTGTTTTTGACTTGTTCACAGTGCCCGTGTATGAGCCAGTCCTATACCGGTTAGACCCGGCTTTTGGCCTAGTGGTTTCCCTGACCTTATCGCAGACCCTGGAACTTTACCCAGCCATTGTAGGCTGAGCTATCCCCGGCAAACGGCGACGACTGCACTTTTAATATTTATTTTCCCAGTGCAGAAAACAGCGTCGCAACTTAAACTGGTTGTTTACATCTTCGGTTTATTGGATGTGAATTCGTAAATACTCGAGGGAAAAAGAATGCGAAATACACTCTTTCTTATTTATATTAAGTTGGTTGAATATTTTTGAACTTAAGTTTCTTTGCAAAATACTTTATCTCTATGAGCTTGTTCAACAGAATTGTATAAATATTTCTTCGTAGCAGTTATGCTATAGGCTAAGTACATTAATTTGCACGATTAAAAAGAAAATAATTTACAAGATTAATTACCATCATGATTACTCTATACAAAAAACAGTCATAATATGTTATTTAAAAAAATCGTACTAAAAAAATAAAAACATGAATGCGTAGACAAATAAAAAATAGTGCATTTCTTTCGATGGTGCTAAGATATGGCATGATGGATATTTATGAGTAGTTCTGTTATTACATTCAGTGTGCGTCATTGACGGTAGTATATGTGAAAATGCAATGACAAACAAAATGATAAAATAAACGTTTTTTTCCGCTAAGCAAAAGCAATACGTTTCCAAATAATTTTTAAAAGTTTCTCGACAAGGCCATTAACCAAATGTCTTTTAATAATTTTAGATGTTATCGAAAGCTGTTAAATGAGTTGATAAGCAATTTTGTTTATTCAATGTTCTTTAAGGCTGGTACGAAGAAGTCATAACTTTTTCGTATTTCATTATCATTGATTGTAACCACGATTACTAGAAAAAATCTAGTTTTTTTAACTAGTTTTTAGAAAAAAACTAAGTTTTTTCTAGTAATCGTGATTGTAACGATTAAACATTTACATTATACTAATACGAGCTGACTGTATGAATGTTGATATAATGTTTAACATCGACAGTAATGGTGACTTCGTGTAATTGTCAAAGGATTTGTAATATTTGTATTTTACGTTATGAAGAGACAGTGACGGCGACAGCACGTTATGAAGTAAATTCACTTACAACCTTACAACCTGGCAATGCACTCAGCACTAACGTGGCTGCGACGTAATAAACTTAGTCGTCACTCTCGCACTCTCTTGGTGGTTCCTTCATTACACTACACACTACACAGACGACGTCACTTACAACGTGGCAATGCACTCAGCACTAACGTGGCTGCGACGTAATAAACTTAGTCGTCACTCTCGCACTCTCGTGGTGGTTCCTTCATTACACTACACACTACACAGACGACGTCACTTACAACGTAGCAATGCACTCAGCACTAACGTGGCTGCGACGTAATAAACTTAGTCGTCACTCTCGCACTCTCTTGGTGGTTCCTTCATTACACTACACACTACACAGACGACGTCACTTACAACGTGGCAATGCACTCAGCACTAACGTGGCTGCGACGTAATAAACTTAGTCGTCACTCTCGCACTCTCTTGTTGGTTCCTTCATTACACTACACAGTATACAGACGACGTCACTTACAACGTGGCAATGCACTCAGCACTAACGTGGCTGCGACGTAATAAACTTAGTCGTCA